GCTGGGGGATTGAACCGCGGTCCCTGTGCTTTGCTGAGCTTGTTCTAAGTAGGTGCTTTAGACCACTGAGCCATCTCACCAGCCCCAGCTCACCGTCTTATTCTTCAGTTCTGCCTCATTCTCTGAAGATGGCGAAGTGAAGGAGAACAGTTGAGAGCCGAGGGGCGAGGAAGACACAGCGCCACACAGACCGCCCATGCCCCACCTTCTCCCCATTCTTTTGTCTGCTCGCTTTCTGGACCACGAGCCTCTTGAGAACAGGACTGCATCCCTCTGTCCTTGCCACCTTCGGAGCCTGTGTTCAGCAGCACAGCAGGGCTGAGTACAGAGCAGGTGCTTGGTGCACAAGTGAATAACTGTGTGTGTGTGTGTGTGTGTGTGCGCGCGCGCGTGCACATGCACACAACACGCTCAATGGCTACATTCCAAAGCCAAGTGGCAGTGTGAACCTGGCCACCATGTTCTTTGATGTCTTGCATCAGGGTGTGCCGAACAGCACAGGGAACAATGGGACATCCCAGGAGTAGCCATGGTGGCCCGCTGGTCAGAGAATGGGACACAGCCCACCATCAGCACCAAGCTCCATCACCCCTGCTCTGGGGGTCAAGCAAGGCCACAGCAGCCCACTGTGACGGTGCTGGACCTCGAAGTGCAGCTGTCACAGTGGGAACCACCCTTCTTATGGGCACAAGCAAATCCTTCCCGTGCCATAAGGCAGCCAGCACTTAGCAAGGTCCAGTGCGGAACACCCGCCCTATGCCAGGTGTGGCATGTGGGCCCCACGGAGGTGAGCCACTGCCCCTTCCTCGGAGCTTACGCCTGAACGGGAATGTTGTCTGTAGTGCAGAGCAACAGGTGCTGTGGGGGACGGGGACACACATGGGCCTGGGAGCAAAGGGACTCCCCTGAGCAGGGCGGCTGTCAGGAGAGGCCACCTTGACACAATACCTGCTGTGAGGTAGGCAGGGTGATGACTTCACCCTCGTCACATAATGGGGCTACCTAAGCGGTGACACGCCTGGGGGCATGACACCATCCTGTAGTTGGAGGAGGTCGGACAGTCCCTTGCCTTCACCCTGACCACAGGGCTGGACGGTCCCCAAACGCATCCCCAAACCACTACTGCTGAGGATAGCTGGACCAGCCACCGACTCCCCGCTGAGCCGCTGTGGGTACCACGTGGATTCAAGTCAGTAGGCAGAGGAAGGCCCAGCCAGAGCCCATCCTGCATGTGAGGGCGAGGGTGGCGCCAGCGCCTCACCAGCTGCTTCCGGGTAGGTCCAGGGCCAGGGTCGGGGACTGAGACGGGAAGGCTTTCCACAGCACACTCCATGACTATGTATTTTATAAGTCATCTTTCTTTCTGTGCTGTGTTTTCCTGCCATCATAGACATTTCTGTGAGAAATAACAGCACTTCTCTCAGATGGAAATAAAAAGACACTCAAAGAAAACAATATCTCAAGAAAAGAACCAAAACCAATTTCAAAGCTCACTGCAAAACTACAGCAATCAAGGGGGCTGGTGAGATGGCTCAGTGGTCTAAAGCACCTATTTAGAACAAGCTCAGCAAAGCACAGGGACCGCGGTTCAATCCCCCAGCACCACATGCCAGCCAGCCCCGCCCCCTGGTGGGCTGAGCTGGCCACA